AAATCCCTATGTCTACTTCTTATTGAATATCACTGTAGGTTTATAGCATCATCCATCGAGCTACAGGGTTTAGGTCCACTAACTCTGATCAACGGCGGAAGCGCTTGCACCTTCAGAGGTAGGAATGTCGTCAATTAAGTATACTGGTGGGCTTAGATTTGTTTTTCATTTTTGAGCAGCGTTTGATCTAAAAAAACGAATGATACGTTCTGCTATCTCTGTTCAATACAAGTCACTTGCAGTTTTTTCAAAGATAAAGACTAAGCATTGACTTCACTTCAAGAAAATTCTATTGAAAAGCGTTTGAACAAGTGTCATACATCATTAGTTTTGGAAACTCAAAAGCTACTCAAAAATCAAAAAAAAATCCAGGTTAAAAGTCAAAAGCTACTCAAAAATGAAAAAACCCTGGTCAATATTAAAAAAAATAAGGTTGGTGTTGGATTGAAAAACCGAAATGCCGCATCGGAAAAACAGAATCATACGAAACTAACGGTAGAAGATGAAGAATATAGGTGCAGTACCAATGACAAAGGATTCGTGAGAACTGAGAGAGAAGCACGAACGGGAAAGGAAAGGGCGAGGCTTGGAGGGAGAAACTAACAGCAAAGAGAAGATAGAGGGGGGGGGGTATAGATGCAAACAACAGAAAAAAAGAGGATATGATGTGGGGATGGTAAAGTCATGGATAGAAGAAAATAATTGGAAGAAAATAAAGAACAGGATTCTGAATGAATCAATATGGAAGACCAATTTTCGAAGGAGACTATCAAGCAAAAGGAGGCATATCACCAGGGGTTAAAAAAGGGATAAGGAAATAGGGGGATTAAAGGAAAGAGGAGAAAGGAATACAAGTCAGAAGTGGAGAGAAGGAAATGGGAGTGATAACGATGTGCAACAGAGAAGGAATGAAGGACTTAAAAAGTAAAATAGAAAATATGGTCGATGAAAGGGAGGAGAAGGAGTTAAAATTGGACGCAGATTTTAAAGCCTGAACAGGTATTAAAGGAAAATGGGAAGAGGACTACAAAATAGAAAATCAAGAGATAAAAACTGCAAAATAGAGGAAGAAGTGTTACTGAAAGAGAGGTTAGAGAATTTTAAACGGAAATATGCAGGGGGATTAAGGACGGGCAATTCACATACATGGGAGGAAGAGGGAGATCGGTAATTATTTACACAATAGTAAATAAAACAAGTATAAATTGCGCACAACTCTTGTGCAGATAAAACGCACTAAACTAGGAAAGTTTACCGAAAACAGTTTACCGAAAAACAATTCACAGAAATGGCAATATACCGAAGGAACAATACGTCGAATTTCAAAATACCGAAAAGCAGTTTTACCGAATCACACTTTACCGAAAGGAGAGTTTACCGAAAATTTCTCCCGTAATAATTGTATCAGCAATGTCATCTTGGACCTTTCCTGTTTAATATAATTGTACATTAACAATATTCCAAATTCCGACGTCTCGTTCAGTCGCAATTCGCGTTTGATGTTTTGACCCAACCATCAGTAAGATCGTGGCCTTCATTTTTTTTACCTACATTGCCAATTCACGAACTCCGATCTACAAATTTGATAAAGAATCCACCTGCAAAATTTTATTGTAATCGGACCGTTCATTTTCGAGAGGCGGATGAACAGACGTTGCAAAATTATGAACTGGCTAGGACCACCTGAACTGCCAACAGTTTGCAAATTGGGCGTAAGATCGTTTGGTTGAGGATGGCGAATTTTACAAAAAAAAACATCTTTTCGGACAAGCACATTTCCACCTCGATGGTTATGTTAATATTCGGTAAACTTTCCTTTCGGTAAAGTGTGATTCGGTAGAACTGCTTTTCGGTCAATTGAAATTCGACGTACTGTTCTTTCGGTATATTGCCATTTCGATGAATTGTTTTTCGGTAAACTGTTTTCGGTTAACTGTTTTCGGTAAACTGTTTTCGGTAAACTTTCCGGGAGCGCTAAAATACCATAGTAAATGGTTGTGTTATAAGGTAATAGCATAGTATATTTATCGATGTTTACTTTTTTGGTAAATAATTGATGAGCAAGGAGCTCTTTACATATAAACATTCATCAAGCCCTTAGAGAAATTCTCCTAAATAGTGCATCTTCCCTTTGTTGGTATTTTCCTCCAACATTTTCCAGATATGCACAACTTACGTAGCCAGTAGATGTTTCTCGTGAGCTCTCATCTAGACGATCATTCCACCCTTTGAGAGTACCCTCCTCCGACGCTACGTTCTGTAGATATTTGCACGGAAAGTTTTGACATTGCCAATCAATATATCTCTTCCGTCCCAATCACCCTTTGTGAGTACGCTCCTCCGACAATCTGTTCTTGAGATATAAGGAATTATGTTAGTAGAAATCAATTTCATTCGCTGAAAGCTTTCATTAGAACACCATGAACTGTGTGTACACCCCCCCCCTCCCAATTTTCAAAAGTTTTACTTGGCAACAACTAAAGGCATGCGTATGCAAAATCTGAGACCAATTGCTTGTCGCATGTAAAGCTTAAGCACGTTTTACTTTAAAAAACAGCATCTCAGGAAATAATTCATGAGGGCCCCTTCCCTTAAGACAACGAAGACACCTTCAAGGTATAGACTTCCTATTGCAAAAATTCCAGGACTCTATGGCTACTCTCCTAAAAGCAGTTCAACACGGTAGAAGTGCGCCCGAATGGACGGACGCTTATTTAAGGGAATGAGACCTCCACTTTCAGTTTCCGCAAAACGACGGCCCATCTGTGTCCCGCTTATCAATGCGGGTGTTATTTTAACAAAACCGTACAATTAGTTTGCCCGATAACAGCTTTTATACGCACATGTACCCAGATAAGACTTCTTTCATGCGTCGTCTCTTTATTAATGCGTTCCACTAATTTCATACACTAATCTAAATACAATAACAGCCCTTAACAAGTTCCCAATTTCCACTCATAAAAGACAGTAAACGTTACAATGACCAATAAATAAAATCTCAAAATTCTGTGTCCACCTGACAACATATCCCTCAGGTCCCAAACAAAATAAATTACAACATTGTACAGGATGTCCCGTCTGAAACCTCCAATGCCAAAACCAAATTACGTCCATATCATTAATTTTTCAAATACAGGGTGGCTCGCTCTTATCGTCGGCATTATTTAAACCTAGAGAAACGAGAACCACTGCAGTTTACACAACAATATAGAAAAATGATGGAAAAAGAGGAAAAATATAGAGACAGAAAAAAGTACAAAAGAAAATGTAAAGAAAAAAAGATGGAAAAACATAAAGAATACAAAGAACAAATCGGGGAAATAAAAATAGAAAAGTATTTTTGGGAGGTGATAAACAGAGCAAAAAAGGAAAACTGAACAAGTGGGACTCACGTGGGAGGGAAACAAAATGTTTCTATATTAAGCGTTTACCTTATATAAAATTCGCGTGTCATGGCTGATTCGACGGTTTGTCCAGTTCGACGGCGTGTCCTTGCGATAACGCTAGAAATTAAAACAGTTTTTAATTGATTACGTCCTATCCAGAGGTATTAAAAATACGGGAGCCGTGTCAAAATTCAAATTTTCTAAGAGCGCACCTAACGGATGTAATCTCGACTTAATCGGAGGCAGTTACTGTAACCCATTCAACCTCGCATTCAACTAATTACTTGAATGTGAGGTCAAACGGCGGGGTCTCCTATCCTATCACGTCGATATTTTCCTTAAACTGTATGACATTTCCGGTTTTAATGTTGGATTTCGTATACCATTAGCAAATTAAAAACCATTAATGGGTAATTAACGGATATAAAGCTGAATAAGATCTCCTTTCCTGGTAAAAGGTCTTTCATGGTTGTAAAAACAATTTAAATTTATTTCGCCCATGATTTTCTGCGACTCACTGTAACTTTGAATGAAATTTTATTATGAGGCTGAAATATTTGAACCACATTCTTCATGGAAATGGAGCTTTAGAATTTTCTTGGTGTCTCGGTGTCTCCCAAGAATCTTCTCTGTCGTCGCAAAACGTTTTCCTCTTATCGTCTCTTGGTAATTCTCTTAGAGCTTTCTCTTAGAGTCTTTTTAGAAGCTCTGAATTGCAATTTCTTGCGCGATTCTGCCCAAATGATATTCAGCTCTGTCTTGTATGGCTAAGAATATGTGCACCAAATTTGGTCCAAATCCGATCCGATCAAAACACAAAATGAAAGTAGAGACCGACATTTATTTATTTATTTATTATCCCTCTCTTGTTCTGGGCCCTCAACAGGCATGCGCTCAATTACAGAGTGACCCGCATAATGCTTTTTAGAGGTGCCTCTGCAGAAGGTCTTAAGTTGGTCTATACTACTCCGGTATTTACCTTACGAATTAGGAAAACTGCAGGAACACCTAATTCGGAGTAGCCGGTAGAATGCTCGGAACTGGTCTAAGGTAATTTCCATCTCCGCCACAGATGAAAAATTCACCTCAACCCAGGTTCGAACACCCGACCTTCGGATTTATAACCCAACGCTCTACCACTGAGCCATAAAGCCGGTCACATCATCGAGCTTTTGCTGGATTCGTGTTCCCGGTGCTTCAATACGTGTATTTCCGTAAAAAAAAGTGGGAGGTCATCTTGTACCCCAATGCAATACTACTAACGGGCGGGTGGTAAAAATTGTTGTGACGCACTGTATATAATAGTACCTAAATAAAAAAAGTATGTCGACGTACCAACTACACCAAAAGAAATTGTGTTAATTTCAAAATGAAAAGTCTCTAAGAAAATTTGGCTGCATACAATGCCGACGAGTTATTCGTACATTTCTGTCATACGCGTCCCCCTGTTAACGATAAGTTATCGCATGGAAAACCAGTCAGTAGGTGCTTCCTTAGTAGCTGGTCAGACAAGCATGAGGCGCAAACAGCGTAATTTCTATTTTTACTCTACTCGAAAAAAATATTTTGAATAATGCGAATATTAATAATAAATTTAAATGCAGTGTTTCATTCTTTGCCAATCTCTTGTCTTAAAGTATGAAGAGGAATCGTTGCAGACTATTAGGAAGTCTACAAAAAAGCAATTTTCGAGTAATTTATTATCATCCGTATAAAATTTACGGCCCCAGGGAAATTCCTACTTATTCGCGCCGTAGTAAATTATCGTGAGCGTCCCTTTAAAAAAAACGAGTAGTATTATAGTAGTTGTGTAGTTGGAAGCCGGCGCTATTCATTAATTCGATTAGTTGTAGAAATTTTAGGGACTCCTCGTGCAGGAGGAAGGTGTGCGCGCATCCCGTATTATATAATACTATTTGTGTTCAGGTGCCAGTTGCGGCGAGGATGTGGGGCAGGGCGCTGCTGCTCGTGCTAGTGATAGCGTTCACGGCCGACGGCGAAGGCGTCCAGGAGTCATCATCGTACGACGCTCAGCTCAAAGTTGGACGATCAATTGACATCTTTACGCGGTACGGCTATTTGAGTCTCAGCATGAAGGTGGTGCCGAGGAACGAGTCCGATTCAAATTGGATCTTTCGGGAGCCAACCGTGGACGTTTTCACCGATATAAATCCCTTAATTATTCGCCCCCAACTAGCCGGAAAGAAAACCGTGTTCGAGGGAGACTTTCATATGGAATTCTGCGACAATTTACGTCAATTACTGCAGGCGTATTTTAGAGACTTTACGTTTGAACGTCTGCAAAGGCCCTGGAGGGCTTTTGCTGCGAGCTGGACTCAAGATAACATAAGTAAATATTTAGGAATTAATTCTTCCTACGTACACGGTGATCATTGTTATGTGCTAGTGCGATTATCGAGATTCCGTGATACCGCTAAGCTATCGAGACTTCCTAATAACATTAGCATTTCCGAAATGGTCGAACGTGAGATAGACAATGTGCGTGTTGGGGATGTTACCAGCGTCTTGGTGTTTATGCGGAAATATGGATCCCACTTCATCAACTCCTTCGTTACTGGAAATTCATTGTATCAGGTAAGATTTTTTCCTCTTATGTTTACTTTTCTTTTGTTTTCTGAAACAATCCCCGACTGGTTCGGACTATAAAGCCCTTGTGACGCGACTTCAGAATGACAAACTCTCTAATACTTGCAATTCATTTCTACTCCAAAACGGAACAATAAAAGCCCCAACATATTTTCCGAGCACCTAATAGCCGAGGAACAAGGAAATCAATTACAAAATTCCATTGTTATATTGGTGGATGATCATTGCTGTTGTAAATAAAAAGTGTCAGAAGCACACACTGTTTACCTGTAAATTAATGAATGTTTTTAATTAAAAACTCTTATCTACGATCTGTTTTCAAGTTGAAAATGTAGCGGAGGTATTTAAAACTTTCCCTATAAATTTTTCACTTACGAGCTCTAAATTTTCCTTTAAATTGAACTTTATACGTCTGTAGTTGTGAGATTACGTTCAAATTATAAATATACAATAAAAAAATTTATATAGGGAAGGTGCTACTTGGCAAGTATCTTTTTTTAATGAAAAAACTTACTTTGAGAGAGCGCTTTACATTTTTAATTTAGCGTACATACATTTAAATGGGAATACGCGAACTACTAATGCGACAAGTTTCCATAGTAACACTGTCTTTCGTCTTGTACTTTTTTATAGGATAAACAAACGCACGCTCTATGTACTTCCTTGGCAATTACCAACTCTAGGATAAATTGACCCACGAATTCATTAAAACTATAGAAAATCTTGTTCAAGTGCCAAGGAGTAAATCGAGGGTACGCTGAACGCTTTTTTAAAAGCAACTGAGCTTTTGTTACAGTATTTCTTTTTTATCTGCCACTATTTTGTTTGTTTTTACCAAAATACAACATGTTACGCTGCCGTTTCCAAACAACTCTCTTCTTGACGTGCTTTAGGTAAGTTGCAAGAACCGAAACGCCCTTAACACATTAATTTGCGTCTGTTTTGTGCTGATTTGTATACCAACTCCCATGTTATTTTCGTTAATGTTAACGAAATTTTTTAAGTCAAAACTTAATCCTAAGGACGACACAATTTCTATCGATTCAATAATTTTGTAACCATTTTGTGCTATTTTTGCCGTATCATAAAAATTTTGCGATCTAATGGTTCTCGAGTTATTCAAATATTAAAATTAAAAATTTTTTCATACTTTGACTTTGTGTTCATTTTGTACTATTTTTGACTGTGTGGTAAAAGTTGTATTTAGGAAATATTTGAACACTTAGAAAATTACTGAAAAATGTTCTTTCAACATGAAAATAACGAATCCAAAATTAGTTTTTGAAAATTCGAAAAAAATGATTATTCATTAAAGCCGGAGGGACGCCAGTTGAAAATATTTACGCACCCCCGTTTAGGAGTACGAGATTTGGCAAAACATTTTAAAAATCATAATTTCTGTATGGTTCTGAGGAAAAAAAATTCAAGAAGAAACGCAACATTTTACACTTGATTTTGGACTAGATTTTACGCTTTCGGTGCATTTGGGAAACGTTTTTGTTTTGGTAGCCTCGGCTGCCCTATTTTTTGAGATATCTATATATCCCGTATACACTGTGTTCAAGATAAAAAGTGCCACTATGACCATTCTGGAGATACAAATGTGGTTAAATGGGAGAAAAGTTGCGCAATTACAGGTCTAAGAAGAAGTAGCGTTTAGAAAAAATTTTTTGGGTTTACAATATTTTCAAAAAATCGGATTTTTGGATTTTACATTTTTTCTGGCGTTTGACCTAGAGCAAAACAGATGACACTTCTCCACAGGAACATTAAAATAGAGTTGTAAATTTTTTAATCCGACGTTTAGTCTTTGTGAAACTATCATCAACTTCATTTTTTTTAATATACAGCCATGATATTCCGATATCACATTCGTAAAGCCCTTTTTATTGTGAATCCAATGATGTATACAACTAGAAAATGGACAAAATTAGGGGGAATTTTGGGGAAATATTAGGCCATTTTAGGAGGCAATTTCAAATTAATGAGGAAATTTTAGAAAATTTGGAAGAAATGAGAAAAAATTCCGAGAAAATTTTTAGGAAATCTAGAGCAAATTATAAGGAAATAGGGAAATGCTATAGGGAAGTAACGTTACTCATTTTACTCATTCGGAGAAATTTTGTGTAAATTTGGGGAATTTTAAGACGATGTTGGGGAAATTAAGGGAAATGGTGCCAATATTGAGGAAATGAAAGGAACCTTTTGTCCCCCAAAACAAGTTGTGACCAACCCCGATCAGAGCTTGACGACGAGGGAAATCGTTGTCTCTCATATAAGAAATGTCGAGGAAATAGCTGGGGAATATGTAGGAAATGGACAAAGTTGGAGGAAATTCTGGGCAAATATTAGGACATTTTGAGAAAATAAGAGGAACTTTCAAAGGAATTCGAAAATCCTAGGGAAATATTAAGAAAATCCTGAGAAAAACTAGAGGAAATTTTAAGGAAATAAAGGTTTCTATATGGAAGTAAGGGTAAATTTGGAGAAATTGAAGGCAATGCTAGAAATGTTGGGGAAATTAAGGCAAATGGTGGCAATTTTTAGAAAATGAAGGAAATCTTTGTCCTCTAAAATAAGTCACGACAAACCCCTCGTGCGGATCCCGATACATCAATCCGACTGATTTAACAAAACGTTGGTATACCAAGATAAACAACGCATTGTATTTTACAATAACAAAAATTACATCCGTTCAAATACGGACTGTCAAGGATTTAGATCAGGTGATTTAGAAGACGTCGCTCAATCTGCAAATGGCACACAAGAATATCAAATTATCAAAGGAGTGAGCTTTAAAGTTAACGGAAAATTTATAAAAATAAAATTTTATTAAGAAAAAAAATAGAATTACAACTCAATAAACTCCACGGCAGCGGTTACGACGGCCAGACGATCGGATGTGCTCAAGACCCACCAAGAGGTACGGATCTGCTTGGTGAAAGTGGGAAGCCTCTGACTCAAACGGGGTAAATGGCAGCTCCCGGAATTCTAAACGAAAAACGACGGCCGGCTACTGGTAAATGCTAAAATTAAAGTGCACAGGAATTCCCCTAAGTGGGAATTAAAGCAACAAAACACAAATTAGCGGTATCTACGGGAAAGCAAATGCAGGAAAGCGAAACAATATCCCCCCCTCCCTCCCGTTACAATTAATGGAGCAGAAAGTAACAAACGCTTATCTTGACAACTAACCAGCACTGCAAAGTTTACTAAAAAACAAACACAATAGGTACGATGCGGTGAAATTAATTGTACAACACAATTAAACGATCTTACGGCTGCAAAATAAATTTACGGAACTATCGAAATCAAATTCAAATACGAGACGGTAAAGTGAATGTTCCAAGAAAACAAAATTGAATGATACTCAAAATTGAATACGGCACTTACAAATGTAACTAGGAAAACACCCAAAGACAAAAGATCTCCTCTAAACAACGACTTTACCTTTTATGAAATTCGGCCATTTGATAGCGTAGGTACCTATTCGGTTATCTACATCCAAAAATTAAAACTTCTTTAATTAATTGTGCGGCCTGCTAACGTGTTAAACAAATGTAGTAGATCTTAAAATTTAAATTAAATGCTTCTTTTGAGACCCCTCGCGACATAATCGGATGCTGCTTATTGCAACATATTTATTTAGCTACTGTTCATTGCACTTACTTAATTGGCCGGATTGAAATGTCTAAAGTCGGTAGTCCAGTAAGGCTCATTGTTAATTATAATTCCTAAGGTTGGCAAAAAGGTCGCTTATGAAAACTGGTTACCGGCGTAAACCTGCATGACATTGCTAATTTTAATTTAACATAGCTTAACGGAGGTAAAATTTTAAAATATTTGCCGTCGTCTTCTAAATGATAAGAGCTTTCGAACTCAACAAAAATAATCTTGACGGGAACGGTTGCAAAATCTGACAAAGAAATAAAATTCAAGCTGGAGTTCAAATTGTGATTCAAATTGACACATAATTTGTAATATAAAGTTCTTTTATTCGAATGGAATCTCGGATCTATTTTAAAATTCGAGTAGCGTTTTCATTGGATTTTAGGAATTTGATTAAGGCCTTCGAATCTTTCAAATTTTTAAATCTATACAGTAAATTTCTTCGTGTGAGAACCCCCAATTGTGACCAAAGGTAAATTAAAAAATAATAATAATGGTGCAATTTGAGCTAGCTAGGTAGGTGTCTGTTGAGTGGTATTTTGACCGAACACAGCAATGGACCGCTCTATATGTTTTGTTTCTTTTAGAATTGCGTGCCCCTTCTGTGATAGTTTTGTCTATCCGTGTGTTCCTCGTCTAACTCGAGAATGAAAAGAGACAGCGATGTCGAATCTTCGCCAATCGATTTCTCCGAGTTCAGAGATCAGTACTATGTGCCCGATAAAAAATCGAGAGCTGAGGGTCAAAAAATTCCTCCACTGAAATTCGTATGCGATTCTTCGTTTCTTGTTTACTGTAGATTGCCGGATTCTGTATTTAAAGTTTGGATTACCTGCATTGGGTTTTAAGCATGGGAGTGGAGCTTTATCTTCTAGGATGTTTGCTCCGTTATTTTTCTAGGTTTTACAGTGTTTAGGTACTTTTGTGCATAGGCATATAAGAAGAAATATTGATGTACTAGGCCCCTTTGGAGCCGAGTACCTACTTTAATTTCCGAGTCAAGTAGTGTCTCTTTACTGAAAAGTGTTATATTAAATTTTACACAAAATCGTCTTTTTGAATAAAAAATTTCAATGTTTATATAGAATTTTTCAACATTTCCGTTTGTCATCATACATGACTTTCCAGAATGAATGGGCATTTCAAAAGAAATTCTTATTTATTATGACTTATGCGACTTTCAAAAATTCTCCAAATTGGGAAAATCACCTTTTATTTACTAATTAGTTGCAAAGACTGAGCAATAATTGACGATGGTTTATTTCTTAATGTATTTGTTTTACATTCAATGAGATTCTGTTACTAAAACACGTTTTACATTTATTAGGGTAGATATCTCACTAGTGCTGCGACGAAGGTTTGTTAATAGTTAAAGACACAGAACCAAAAGG